TGTTCAGCATCTTAGCTGTGGAGGGCAGTGTCACTGGCCCTCATATGTGGGATCCGAACTGGAGCCCTCTGGCGTCCCAAGCCAGCTCTTAACCATCGCGCCACTCGGCCGGCCTCAGACTGGGTGTCTAAGCAACAGAAATTTATTTTCTTGCAATTCTGGAGGCTAGGAGTCTGAATTCCAGATGTCAGCAGGGTTGTTTATTTATAGAGGCCTCTCTCCTGGGCTTGTAGATGGCCATCTTCTCACGGAGTCGTCACAGGATCTTTTCTCTATGCCTGTCTGTGTCCTAAAGATCATCCGTGGTGTTGGATTACGGCTACCCACATGACTTCATTTTACCTTAATTACCGCTTTAAAGGGCCTGTCTCCAGATACAGTCACATTCTGAGTTACTTGGGGTTAGAATTTCAATGCATAAATTTTGAAGGGACAAAATTCATGCCATAACACTTTCACTTTAGTAATGAGCACAAATGTTATGCTCACTCAGGTAACTGGCACAAACGCTGAAGATTGCATCTGAACCACCACCGTGCATGTCAAGATTCCAAAATACGTACATTTCAACATGGTACACGAGCGATGTCTTGCAATATCAGTTGTTTGTTTCCGGAACGAATTATGCTCGCAAACCAAGGTATTACTGTAATGGAACTCAGAGCCCAGCCTGTGGTATCCCTTCCCTTCAGATACCCCTTGGGTCTCGGGTATCTACTAATCTCAGTCAAGCAAATGAGTACAGTACATATATTTGTATCACTCTCTTGATTCAACAGAGACTAAAAGACATTAAAAAACGGGATAAAAGTTGCACCAGCAATAAGTGATATCCTTCGCAAGTGGTAGTGAAAAAGAAGACTATACTCTGTGCTTGCAAAATTGACTACTGTGTTTTGTTTTCATGTTAACCACAGAAATCAGTTTTATATACAAAATAATTCAGGAAATAATTCACATAAATTCAAGAGATTTTCGATTTGTCAAAGTAGTCTTTTCTTCTATTGTTAAGCAGAAAATCTAGAAGTGTTTTATAGTTGGAGACAATAAGCTAAAGCGAAGAAAGAAAACAGTTATGATTTTTTTAAACCACTAATTGAAGCTTTTAGTGTCTGGCAGCATTCTGGTGATTTGGGGCTGAAATCTGCTCTGTTCCTTATTTTCCTTTGTCAGCAGTGTTCACCATGGTAACTTCAATAAAACTCCCCTCACAAATGTTTTTCTTCTAAAGTGCAAAGCACCTTCTTAAAGAAGAAGGCTGACAACCTGGTAGGAGTGGGTGTTTGGAAAATAAATGAAGAGTATCCTGCTTTCTTCATGATTGCATGATTGCTATGGGTGGCAGGAGATGAGGTAATTATTGAGGGGATAAGGTTGGGTGAAGGAAACATTTTATCTTGTTTTGAGATAAAAATTCATCTGATTTTTGAGGTAGAAAGTGAAAATAAGCTAGAGAAACTTTTTCATAAAATTTCCTTATTTCTCATCATAGAATTTGGACAAGCTTCATCCGTACAAATTCATGAGCCACTTTGGAGTATGAATTTGTATGGGACAAATTTAGCCAACACCTAATTCAGTGAATTCTGCTTGGGTCCAGGATCAACTTTCTTGGGTCTACTTGAAAATGTAACTAATGTGGGACTTTAGACACCATGAAATCTCCCTGGGTTCCTTCCAGTTGCTACCCCTAAAATATGGAGGCCACAGAAGCCCAGGAGGTCTCAGCCTTAGTGACAGATTAGAATCAACTGAAATTGTTTAGAAAATGACAATGGCAGGGCCCCACCCAAAGATTATACTTTAAGGTCTGGGGTGATATCCAAATAAAAGATTTTATTCTATTTTCTTTTCTTTTTAAGTACCCAAGGCAATTTAATGTCTAGCTAGAGTTGAAAACAACTGTATTTATTGGTCTCAAAGAGCCCTTCCGACTCTACTATTCTAAGGCTCTTACCTACAAACTGACTCTAGCAGGGCTTGACTCTGATAGGAGTGTCAATTAAGTACACTTGCTTTCAAATTTGTTGTTTATCCTTCTGTTCAGGATTCAAGGAAGAAGGCATTAACTCATAATTTAGGAATTTAACATCTTTATTCCTGTTTATCCATTCATTATCCAGAATGAGCTCCAAAGTCATGCCGGTGCTCAGTGCAGAAGTGATGTCTTCACTCTCAAAACACATTGGTTTTCAAAGAGTTATATTGCTTAAAGTTTAGCCAAAAGACATTAACTAGATTCAATATTGTATATATATTTTATGAGTGTGGAAATGGTCAAGACAAAGTTAACAGTAGGGTTCTCAAATGACTCGACAACTCTTTGTTGGCATAGTGGATAATTGTTTCATTAGAACAGGGTTGTCCTCCCTGATGGCATTTTAGAATTGCCTAGGAAGCTTTTTAAAAAATCTTCATGCCCAGGCTATACCCTAGACCAAATCAGAATCATTGGACTGGGCACCAGTTATTTTAAAGCCTCCCAGGTAATTCCAAAATGGAGCCATCCATGTTTGAGAATTGCTTGCTCTAGAATGAAGTTGTGTGGACAAACTGTATCAATGATGAAATGCTAACAGTGTGTTAGCCATCTCCTTGATTAGAAATAGTACCTTCCTGCCCCCTGTAAATGACATTGTCAAAGAGGTTTATTCTTCTTTTGCTAAAGTTACTATCGTGAGGGAGGTCTGTTTGTTTAAATGTTCTGCTTTACTAGACTACAACTATTTGTACTAAAAATGGCAAATGAAATGTTTCTTTCTTAAGGCAAATGAAATGTTTCTTTCGTAAGGTTTCTTTCTTAAGGTGATGAGGCCAGTCTTCTCACAGACCCCTTTGAAGACGATTGAAACAGTGAGTAAAATGAACACAAAACACAGACATTTTTTAGGAAATCATTTTTTTTAGTCAAATTACAACTCAAAAGGAATGATGTCCACCTTTTAAGTTTCTGGTTTATTGTTTTCTGGTAAGTAAAAAATTCACTTCAGCATTATTCCTCTCTACCTAAGTGCAGGTTGCTATACTAAAACTTTGTTATCCTAAATACTGAAAACTTAAAGCCCAAAGCCTCAATACTGTAGTATCAAATGAATGCTTAATTGTTATTCTGGAGCTTGGTTCTGGTAGCTACCCAAAGCCTATAAATCATTATCAAACAAGAACATCAAGTAATTAAGCTCTCTGGCCTCAATCTGATCTATATTCTCTACTTTCAGCATAAAAAGGTATTCACTCATATGGCTAGTTAAACTCTCTTTTAATGAACCTGGATCAGAGAAATGATTTGCTAATACTTTCACAAACATAGGGAGTATGGGAGCGGATTTCCTCCCTATCAAACATGCTGAGTCCACTGTTGTTTTCAGTGGCCTGAACAGAAAGCCAAAGCTGAGATACATGGAAAAGGATGATAAAAGTATTAATAGGAGTTAGTAAAAAAAAAAAAAATGCCTTTACCAAATGACATCTGATGTCTTCTTGAGATGACTCTCGGGCATGTTGCAAATTCAACAATTTATGGTCAGTTGCCTTATATCCTTAAAATCACACAAAACAAGCAGTTAGAATGAAATAGTTGGTTTAATATTCATGGTCTTGAGAAAGAACTTGAATTAAAATTCAGTCTGGGATCTGAATTAGCACCGTCTGAATACAGAAAGAATTCATTATACATGCACAAATTAGTTTTAATAACATACACAGGTAAATATATTTGTTTTACTTGCTATACTTGTTCCGAAGAACCCTTCTTGGGGTTAAACTTATTTTTATTATTTGGCTGGGCATGATACAGGTTGAACGCCCCTTAGTTCCAGGGCCTTGGCAAAATTAACTTCCAGTGGCTTGCCGGTGCCTTTGGTGAGCCTTAGAGATCTGATGCAGCCTCTGAACGGGATGTTGGTTGTCAGGCCGAACTGGTTGAGGCCATCTGAAAAACAAAGCAAGGAGGGCTCAGTTTTTGAAACGCAGCTGCTATGTGTAAAAGCATGTTTCAAAGTCAGCTGTTGGTGTGAGATTAAATTGGAAGGCTGTTTTATGTAAAGTTAGTGATTTTGTTCTTAGCTTTACTAACAGTTAAAGTTGTAGAGAAATACCAACTTTTTTTTTATAGTAATGTATTACAAAATTTGGAGACATACATTTTAAGACATCAAAGAATTTGGCTTGAAAAGAACACTTTTACAGTTGTGACTTACAATTATTAAATTTGATTTAATGAAACAAAACAATTGATCAAATACTTTACTGAATTAGGACATGGGCTTTTAGTGGTGACTTTGTTCCTTTCTTACATTGTAAAAATAAGTCCCCAAAGGTTAAATTAGTTGAAAACTCACACAAAATCTTTCTCTTACTAAGGACAGACTTCTTTCACCCAGCAGGCCTACTAGGTGGTAATGAGGATCTCATTTCATAGGCTGTGAATGGAGAAACACATGATCTCCTTTATAATATCTTGAGGTTTATCTCAATTGAAGCAGAAGTAGGTCTTCTTAAAGCCTACTTGTTAAAACAGAAGTGACTTTGGAAAGACGGGCTCTGAATTGGTCCCCATGACTCCTGTATCTTTTCCTCAGTCCCCACTGCTCAATATATGTACATTTTGCTTATTTCATTAAGCCGCGGAGCTTTACAATAAGTGGGAACAAAAGTTTCTCTTGCCAAAATGTTGAAAGACCATTCCAAAAGTCTGTGTTATTTCAGTACTTATTAAGAGGCATTTGGCTTATTTCGCATCAAGTCGGGCACTCTTGTTTACGGGCACTTTAGGTAACTCTTCTGTGGTTCACGGGCTATTTTTAATATGCTGGAGAGGGATTTTGAGTGCAGATTTATTGCTTGGGTTTCTTTGTAATATAAATATAAATTCTAAAGTAACCTGAGGGGGAAATTAGCTACATTTAACCCAATGATTTCTAGAGCTTGAGGAAATATGTTCCATAACATTTTATGATTCCTCTGGTATATTAATTCTTAAAAAATAAGAGGGAACACCAACTGTGGCTCCAGTCACTGTTTAATGCCTCATATCTTTTATAAGCCAAATTCATTTCCTCTATCCTCCATCACCCCATGAATGCAACTTTGGGGGCTATCGTGAAAATTCTGTCTCCTGTGGTTTATGTAAGTAATATGCTCATTTTCTACACTGGAAATTTCAGGCAAGGTGTTATTTATGGGAGCAGGTTCTAAAGCTAGGAAGCAAGTGTACTTAAGCACACATTCTTGGATATATTTATAGAAATAGAATGGTTTTCAAAATCATGAACGTAATAGAGCAAAGGAATTCTTGCTGGGGTAGACAAGGCTCACCTGGGAAACCTCCAACAAACACAGGGTCATTGGTGTCAGCTGAGGTAGATGCTGGGTTTGGGCTCTGGGCTTCCACCTGGTTCCCATCTACCGTCAGCACAATGCGGTGCTTGATCTTGTTGGCCGTGACTTGATGCCATTGTCCGTCACACACATGTCCTGGGATCCCAGCATCATAGACAGCAGTGAATCGGCCGGCGCCATTGTCCACATGAAACATAATCTAGAAAGTAGGAAATTGAACAGTCACAGATGGTTTCATTAGAAGGGTATCATGATGGTTCACATGATAAAAACTGTCAGAGCTCTAGGAAAGACATCAGCGGGAATTGTTTGAAGTGAACATAACTGGGGCATGTTCATTTATTAAGAAGATATATATATTTGACAGAAATTAAAACAAATTTAATAACCAGAAGTCACAAATTATGTTCTTTGCATTTGGGCATTGTTGGGAGCAATAGGCAAGATGTGTGAGTTTAGTGATAATTCTGTTTTTAGAAAATGTGAAATGTAATTTTGAGACCAGCTGACAAAAAAAAGGACCCAATGTAAACAGAAAATTCTACCATAGATCTTTTTAGAGTGTGAGAGTTCTTAGTGAACCTTCTAAGATTTTCTTAAAAGATTTATTTAGAGTGATTCATTAATTTGGCTTACAAATTCTTTTTAAAGGGTTATTGTTTTCTTTCAGTTTACGCTTTTGATGTTTTAATCATATGTATTTTTTTTCCTTTATGGTTTCCATTTTTTATATAGGAATGAGAGTTACATAAATTACTTTTTGGGGCAGGCTTCACGTCACAGGTGCCAAAGACTTTGAGCCAGAAGGCCGGTTAAATTCTTAACAATGAAGAACATAGATTGGAAGTTCTTGTCTAAATGAGAAAAATCTGTTTTCAGTAATATGGAACAGTCCCTGAAATTTGAGATGACAGAATTCTTTTGAAGCTGATGAAAAAAAGAAACATATTGAAACATTAAAAACAGTCAATCTGGCAACACATTGGTAAGGTAAAAAATAAGAAATAGGGGTCTTTAAAAGAAGATTAAAAGTATAAGTAAATGGTGAAAAGTTTGTAAACTATACAGTGATGTGAATATTAGTTAAGATTTTACTATGTTTGGTAGAGTTTGTAATAACAGGATTTTGCATATAAAAGGAGTTTGGTGAGAAATCCACATGCATCGTAAAGGAACTTGATACACTGACAAGTTGATAGTAACTGTGGTTATAAGCAGGTGATGAAATGAAGCTTATTCCAACAAGATGTAGGGAAAGTGTGTTTTGAAAATCTGGCAAAACTATTAAGTGTTGCTTATTTGTTCCCCCTTTTTTCTCTGTGCTCCTGGATCTTTTGGCTTTATTGGCTTTGACATGGTTTGAAGACGGAGAAGAGCGAGGGAGGGGGCAAAGGGAAGCATATTTTAGGTCACTATGTGGTGTTTCTTCTTGGGAGGCAACAATAGCTTACGAGTGGAAATATGAACAGAGTTGCCATATGATTCCTATTTAACAGCCAGAAAGAAAACTTGTGATATTTCTTGCTTTACCTTCTTCTATTTACATGCTCCCTATAGTACAAAAGTATATACAAACAGGTCATCCCACTGCAGGTGGCTGCTCGTAGGCAGCTAGGGACTAAAGAGGTGTCTGGAATTAGATTATCCATTGTAAGCAAACTGACAAATATATTACACTAATATAAATTTGTTATAAATTTTCTATTTTTTGAAATGGTATCTGGATGCTTTTAAATAAAAATTGAGAAGCCAATAAAGTCAGCTAGCCACTTATTATTATAAGAGGCAAAGACTGATTTTTAAACAATCCAAGACCCCTCATTTTCTCCCACTGGAATAAACAGTTTCATAGACTGTGTTTTTATAAAGAGGAGAATAACAGTTAGTATAAATTGGGGTAATCCAGAAGGATGAAAAGATACATTCTAGCTTTCCCCCAACGAAGAGGGCAGCAAAGCTTCAAAGTAGAATTTCTACACATGAACAACAGTATTGTGAAGAGATCAGAAATATTTAGATGGCTGACGTTCACCTTTTCATCAATCATTTCAATACCCATTCCATCCATTTTCTGGCTGCTGATTCCCAGAAGAACTCCAGTGGTTCTAGTTGTACGGAATTCAAATTCAACAAGAAGGTCCAATCCCACTTTGAACCCACCAACTGCAAAAATGAGAATTAAAATATATATTAGAGTTTAGGGATTAATTAAAATTTTTATAATGCAATGAGTTTACAAGATTTCAATTCAGATGTTAGTCAATTATAATAATTGTAAGTTCCAGACTCTTATATGGCCTATATTCCCACTATTATATTACATAACACACTTTATAGTTATTGCTTATTTTCTTGGCTGTCTTCCCTCCTAGAATGTAAGTTCCATGAGGGCAATGACTTTTTCTGTATTGCTCACTATTTTATGCCTGTGCTTACCAAAGTATCTGGCACATAGTGGAGGTTTACTATAAATTTGTTGAGTAAATGAATGAATGAACACACACTGACTCAAAGAATCTCACGTCCAGGTCTGATTATGTTAGAAGTCTCCACTGTTGGATTAAGACAAGCACTTCAGTAATTATTGATTAAACTTTCACT